AAAGCAACATGTTGCTTCTTGGCATGACAATACACTATTCAACTTGTTGTTTGAATAGTTAAATAACACCAATAGTTATTTAGCACTATTAATGGTGTCAAGAAGAGTTGCAGCAGCTGCTTGTATCATAGCTATTTTGATACCTAAAAGGCATAAAAGTTTTGACTAGAAAATTGATATTGAATCGTAACTATGGAGCATATCACCAGCTATTAAAGGAACTACAGATGGGAGATGAATCAAGCTACAAAAACTGTCTTAGAAGGGATGTAGATTCCTTTCCGTCTATTTTGGCAATGATTGCACCAGAAATAACATATAGACACTCACTTGCGCAAAGCAATTCCACCAGGAGAAAAATTGGCACTAACATTGAGATTTTTGGCTACAGGTATGATGCATGATATCAAAGCTGCATGGGTTTCAGTCAATTCAGTGTAATTTACCAAACATAGGAAAAAGCTATTTAAGTCTACAATACCTCTACATAGTTCCTGCACAAACAATAGGAAAGATAGTCATTCAAACGTGTTTAGCAATAGTTGATAAACTACAACATTTTTTAAAGGTAATTACTAATTAACATTGAATTCAATACAAAGTCAACAGCATTAATGATTACTGATCTTTGATGCTACCACTACTAGTGTTACCAATGCTTGTTAGATAGAGATAGTGAAGTGGGTGTGAATCGCAGAGATCCAGCCGAAACAGGATATGCAAATGAAGATTTGTGTTCTCTGCTCCATAAAGATTAGAGTGTATCTCAAATTTCTTCAGACGTTTTTCACTGTCATCTTGAATTGCTCTGAGTTTACAAGCCACAAACTGTCCAAAAATGTCATCTACATCTTTTACACATGATTCTTCTTTTCCTTCTTTTTCCATACATACGACTGCTTTCTCCAGTAGCTCTACCTCTTCAGCTTCTTTCTTTCGTTTCTGCACACGTGGCTGCTCTAGTTTTCTCTTTAAAGCATTTTGAATAGATGTTTCTTGGTCACTGTTAGATTCTATGTCTTCACTTATTTCTGAAGTAGATTCTTCTTCCTATTTGTAAAAATAACAATATACTCATATTAATTTATGTATATCTACATGAACTTATTTTACAGGTACCAACAACAGAAAATGAATGGAAGGAGATAGCTGAACAGTTTCAAAATCAATGGAACTTTCCTCATTGCCTGCGAGCAATGGACGGAAAGCATATTACTATAAGACCACCAGCTAATAGTGGTTCTTTGTATTA